GGAATTCTCCATTTCCAAGAGGTTCTATGGCCCTTTAGAGGTCTCTGCAAGGAATCTATTGATAGGTTGGCTGAGCAGGCAAGGAGTCAATTAATGCAACACTTTCCTACCTGCAGCTGTAGTTTAGTCTTTTAGGGAATGCAGACAGAGGTATTGATTTATAGACCAACACCAACATGAACATGCTTTTGAATTGGAAAGTGGTGTTTTTTTGGAGGAGGCATGAGCAACATTTGATGTTCAAGTCAATTTATGGAATTTGGTGTGTGTGTATATATATATATATATATATATATATATAGATATATATATATATATATATATATATATATATATATATATATAGATATTTAAATAGATAGATACTATGGACATATGTGGACACCTCCTCCTAGTTCAAGAGTGCAGGTGTTTTAGTCACACACATTGCTAACTTGCTAAACTTGGCATAGCTTTGCCACAAGTCAGTTCATTAAATTTCTGCCCTGCTAGATCTGCCCTAATCAACTGTAAATCTTGTTATTTTGAAATGGAGACGTCAAATGCTGAAATGCATAGAAATGGCGTGTCCTCTGTTGCATCACTCGCTACAGAGTTCCAAACTGCCTCTGGAAGCAACATCAACACAGGAACTGTGTGTCATGATATAGGTTTCCATGGCACCTGCTCATAAGCCTAAGATCACAATGTGCAATGGCAAGCATTGACTGGAGTGGTATAAAGTAGAGATCTGCATGGGACTGATATTTTAGTCCCGCTCTCACAAGATTTCATCCCCCTCCCGTCTGTTCCCGCAGAAAGTCTGCCCCATTTGTCTCTGTCCTGCCCAGAAACTATTTTTCTGCTAGATATTATTTATATATGCTAATCTTTAAATGATTATCATTTTACCTAGGCTATTTATTCATTTGCAACCTTTTTATGCATGTGTTGTTCTGCTCCTGTGCACACATTTGTATTCCATTTATTACTTTAAGAACTTACAGCACACTTAAAGCAAACATTTTTGCCCACAGTCTTATATGGAAACAACATTCAAGATGTCAAATGTTTAAATGAAATCTTAAAAAGAAAAGTCAATACTCAGTTTGTAAATTAAAGTGCTATATATATATATATATATATATATATATATATATATATATATATATATATATATATATAGCTCTTTATATAGTTTATATATAGTTATATATAGTTTAACACTTTATATAGTTATATATATAGTTATACACTTTATATAGTGCTGTATATATTTATATGGAAAGTCTTTCCAGAAAGTCTTCCCAGAATACTGAAGGCTATTTCAGTTGCAAAGGGGGCCAGCTTCATACTAATGCCCATGGTTTGGTAATTGGATGTCCAGCAAGCTTATATAGGTGTGATGGTCAAGTGTCCACATACTTTTGTCTGCATAGTGTAGTGGATTAGGCCACGCTTTTGTATTATTTTGTTACTGTCTTCTAGACATTACCCAAAAACATTACTATATGGTATAAAAATAAACCTGACAATTATTTCTCGAATTGGATTTGGAAAAAACATATCCTGCATGTCGTAAATCATTTTTAAACTACCGTTTTGCAACCTCTCTTTACCGCTTAGCATTAAGCAGACTGTAATTGTTACTGTACTTTTAAAACTGATGTATTTAAATGATATCATTCTCATTTATATTGTGCCTCATTAAAAAGCAGTCTGGGCTGAAACACTTATAAGTTCAGCATGTTTTATTTTTTTCCAGTTTGTTAAATTTAGCAAATAAATAAAAAGTGAGCATTAAAATCACAAAGTGTGTTGCCTGTTGAGGATGTGTTAACTTATTTTCACTTAGAAAATCAATGAAACATGAAATTTGACCATGGGCACCCAAATATTTGCATACAACTCTATCTTAAAATCTAGCTAAATGTTCCAGTCTACTGTTTGTTCTGACATTGCTCAACACAAATAAAACCATGACAACCTGTTGTTTTTCCGCTGTGTCTTCTGTAGGCTAACAGTGCATAAACCAGATTAAGATTTTGTCATATTGAATTGCTTTTTGAAAGTAGCTATAATTGAGAAATAGATTCATTGATGTTTTGATTCAGTCTAATTTTGCCTATGACCCTACACATAGACTGCTTCTCAATCCGCATACTATCATACTAAATACTATGTCTGAAATAGTAAAGGCGCTATTGGTGGTGTACTACTTTGAGGTGCCATTTAGTACACATATGCAGTGCTTACTAGAACATTAGAACCACAACCACACAGGTCTCAGATCGGTCTCAGACAGGTTTTATTATATTTCTACCTTGTTTTTCTCATTTAAACTTTGTTGGGTGTTTTACTATAATGTTCTAGTTTAGTATCATACAAAACATATTTAATATTTCACATGGTGATCCCTGGGACTTGAGTGCTTTTGATGTCATGTCGCACTTCAGTAAGGCAATACTGAGGCAAAAGATGCTGCCCTCTTGCGATCTTCTTCTCCTCCTCCAAGACGATTACAGCTGTTTTCTCAGTTTTGAGCTTACTAGTTATGATTTTTGTGGCAGAACTAGAAGAGGGTTCAACTCTGTAGCTTAATAATCGATATATCAGTGCAAGGTAAGATTTAGTATATGATCTACAATTCAAAATGAACAAAACCTTAATGCAGCTTAGCTCAGCTTAGGCCAGGTGTCTAATCTTACCCACAAAGGCCCACTGTAGTTACAAGTTTTTCATTCCAACACTGCAGGAACGCACATGATCAGTTGCTGAAGATGGAGAGCAACTGATTAAACAAGTAGAATCAGGTGTGCTTGAGCTTGTTTGGAGTGAAAGCCTGCAGTCACACCAGCCCTTTGCGGATAAGATTGGACACCCCTGGTGGAGGCCGTTAGGCCGTTGCCACTTATTTCCCATTGGCTGCAGGATAGCAGACTGACGATATGTCACACTTAATCATAAACCTGCATGCACTACAAATCATGCATATTAGCAGTCTGTTCAAGTCCCAGCGCATCAGTGTAGTTTGCAGTTTCTCTCCCCTCAAATAGGTTAATGAAGCACTCGTAAATGCAGCAAATGTGCGTCAGTAGAATGCAGTGTTGTGGAGTGCAACATTGCCCCCTGCTGGTCTGATGTTGCTAGTACTGCTCTGAGACGCGGCTGGGTCGCCAGATGTCAAGGTGCCGCAGACTCTTCAGCAGCAGATGTTCTCTTTTTGTGTTCTCCTCCTCCTGTGGTTGTTCCTAACCCTCCTCAGCCGCATGAGAGAGACACTTTCTCCCATCAGCATGTTCTGCAGGAGGTCATAAGAAGAAGCAAAGCCTTTCCTGTAGCCGAGAAGGAGAAATCAGCTTGGCTTTACTTATTTACATGTACCTGTGTTTACTCAGGTTTATTAGCTGAGGGTGCACACTCTTTTACAGTGACTGCCTGGCAGAAATGTAGCGCTAGGAAGAACTTCCAAAGCCAAGTTCACTTTTTCAAAATTTTACACACCCCCTCTTTGCAGAAACAAGCAACTCGGTACAACAGGTCATTTTATACCCTGAATACAGCTACAAAAGTGGAGCAGGGCGGAAGTTGGATTGAAGGTTTATTTTTGTTGAAATTTTAATTGGTGAAAGGCATAGATTTTGTGCATCTAAAACAAAATTGTGCTTTGTTTCATTGTACCTTTCACAGCTAATGGAAAAAAAACTCATTATTTCAGAAAAAGATTACAAAACAGAAAGATATTTTTTCAAAGAGAGCAGATTCTACCATGCCGAAATACTTGAGGGCTTTAAGTTTTAATATTAAGTTTTCAGAATATCAGCATATAGAATCAGAGCTTTCTGTGTGCTACTGTGTTTCCTATCGCAGTGTAAAAGATGCATGAGACTTCTTCTGCTGTTGAATTGCTCATTCAGAGCAAGTTGGATCAGTAAGCACTTACAGCAGATTATTAAATTGCATAAGAATAACAATGAAATATGACTAATTTATTAACTATATTATTGTTCAAGTGTTTACATATCAAATAAAAGCAGAAACAGCATTCAGAGTCACTTTGTTAAACGAGAAGAGCAGATTAAACAGCATAAATAGCCACATTCTTGTAAGATCCTTAAATATTAAGTGTTAAATATTAGCTGAACTACTGAATTTCCTTTGATAAGAAGATTGCAGTTGCTTTAGTTTCTCTACCCTCCCCTGAATATTTACTGTAATGTGCTTTGATTCATGTTTATTGATATAGATTCATTTCAGTCATTTGACATATGAACGAAATTCAATATGACGGTTATCAGCGTGTGAAATACCCCGCAGTAATTGAGAGGGCCCGTTAGTACTCAAATGTTGGCTGGCTGCCATCTCACTCAGCTGATGCTTTAACAACAATAAAATGTTTGGTTGAATTTTTTTCACTATTCTTAAATGGAAATCCAAAACATTCTAAGAAACTGTTTTTTTTCTTTTTCATTTAAGAGCTGCTTGAAACACATGAAGTAAAAAAAAAAACACAGTCCCGCCCTTGGTTACTGTTGCTATGTCTGACAAGCTTTCGGGCTAGACATGTCAACTGTGGAGTAGTCTGTGGCGGTGTAGACAGTTTAAATGGTAAAATTCACAGATTCTGGGCTTTCAGGAGGTCTGAAAGGTTAAGTGGCAGTCTTTGACCCTTTAAGATTGTAGTATTTTACACCTTGGCTATTACTCCTGTTTTAGCTATGTGCCTGTCCATGTTTAAAGATTACAGTTAGCTGAGGATTTAGGCATGTAGTTTTCATAATGGTAGGACACAAGTTTCCATTACTTGTTAGCAACATTTGCTTTGTAGCAAAACTAAACAGGCAACATATCTTGGATGATGGATTACACTTGCGTTAAGGGGAACAATGTGTAGATTTGAGTTCTCACTGAACTGTTCCTTTAAGACATTACATTAAACACATATGAGCTGCTGAAGTTGTTGAAAACGTATGATGCTCACAGTGTTCGAGTGAAGATCATGCATTGTTTTCTTGCTGCAGGTCACCACCAGTTTGGAGCAGCAGGCCACAGAGTCCAGCATATGTGAGAGGAACACTACAGCAGGCCTCAGCACTCAGGGTGAGTTGTCAGGAAGCAAAGCTAGTGCCGCTTGAAGAGAAGAGAGGGTTCAGAGAGGGTAATAGATTTCAATCCCAGTTAGAGGAAGATGACTGTATAGTATCACTGTCATACAGTCAAAACCTCATAACTCCAGAGGTGCACCGATCATGATTTTTTATGGCTGGTGGCCAGGTTTTTTGACCGTTTTTATTTTTGTTTGCCCTGTTTTTTTTTAAACCTGAAGCTCACACTATGTGGGCTAAATGAATACATGAACACACTAGCACATTTCCAGTACTTTCTACTAGTCAAAGTCCCAATCTAAATAACACTACTTACTCTTTAATGAACAAAACTGGCATTTTAAATTGAAAAATCAGTTGCCTATTTAAATAACATGAATCAAATTACATGCTGCATCGAAGGTATGAGGCAGCTGAATATATAGCAGAATGAGTCATGACAATAATTATGCTATGACATTTTGGTATACAGTAGGCGTAGCAGCAGCGTTTAAATACAGTGCGAGTGCACATACCTGGCTCACGTTAATTAACGTTATAAAATTGCAATACAGATCAGCCAAATCAGATCGGTCAGAATAATAAACTGTCTGATTGCGGATCGCCTGTTTAGAGCAAAAATCTATTAATTCTTGGTCAGTTCTGATCATGCATCCCTACACACCATTTGAAAATGGCAGTGGCCTTTTACATTGTAAATATTTAATGAGGACCGATAGAAATGGGCCAAAATGACTTTGAATAAAAAATAACATAATGTGCTTTAAAATTAACAATAAAGTTGCCAGATTTTTGTTCATTGGTCATTTTGGACCGTTTCTGGTGCATCAACCATGAAATATTCACTGAATATAAAGGGTGGTGGGCTTTTCTAATGATGAGATTGTGATCTGATTATGATGTTATATTGGCTCATTGATGTGGTTCATAATACACTGAATCAGCATTTAAAGAAACAGTGCTATCGACTCACATATTTATCTTTGAAATGAAAGTTTGACCACAGCCTTTTATGAGTCATTATAAAAGCTATGATATCTGCTGTGTGTGATTTTAATTTGTATACCAGAGTGCTGGCCTTCTGTGAAATTATATATTCCACTGTAATCAGAGCTAAAGAGATGTTTTACGTTTGCTTTAAACTACCAGTACTGTGATTAGACCTAAGTGTGGCTTAAGAGCTCAGTTTTGCTTGAAAAATAACTCAAGCAATTATGTATAATGGGGATGATACTGTATATTCATATTCTGTGAACAGGACAGAAAAGAACTTTAGGCTTCTGTAAGCTGTAGTCTTTTGCTGTCTTGATGCTCTGCCTTATCTATAAACCACATTTATCTTCTTGTCTAAAGGTACAGTAAATATTATTCCAAGTACTCCACGTTTTATTGTATACACAGTATGTAATTTTATCTTATGTGTTCACTTCCATTCACAAGTTTAATAAATTAGATAAATAGAATTATGAGCTGTAGATGATCCTAAATTAACTCAGGAAGCTGTTCAGTATTAAGAATGTAGTTAGGCGAGTATTGTAGATCATCACAGCCGGGATGTTTGTGATAAGACACAACCTCAGGTGTTCTATTCCCTTTAAACAGCGGGTCTGCAAAATAAATAAAGAAGAAAAGCAAAGAAGCTTTAAGAACAGCAGTTCCTCCCGCCAAGATAGTAGTGCTCTTATGCGCTACAGCTGGAGCCATGAAACTGTTGCAATATCAGGTTCTGTTCAGCTTCATACTTGGCAGATTAACCTGAATGTCGTTTTTGTTTTTGTTCCAAACAGTCTGTAAAGCATTTCACAGCCCATCTCATTTGCTGAATTGTGTTCTGCTTCTGGTTATTTCCAGTTTGTTTAGTTGTTCCGTCACAGCTGCCAAATTAAAAGCTTGCTTACAAGGTATGACAGGTTCGGATTGTGATGCAGTCCTGCTGTCACGCTCTTGTATCAGAATCTGCCCAAATGGGCTGCAGGTGAAATATGATCTTATAATTGTTATGTGTCCATTTTCTGTGTTTATATGTGCTAAAAACAAGCAGAAATGTAGTAAATGTTAGCTGCAGCATAAAGCCAGCAAACAGTTACTTAGCAAGCAGTGCTTGGCAGAATGATAAAGTTATTGTGAAACAAATGTGCTGTTTTTTGTGACAGGACAATCCTCAACCAATAAGAATATGTTGTCAGAATTAAATTAATATACAAAATGAATATCCAGAATGACTCTTATTTCAAAAGTTGGTGATCAGCTTGAGGCAGAAAATTTGTTATGAAAATCAAGTCTAGCCTGTTTAGGTGAGGTTGGCTAGTTTCATAATTGCAGGATTCAGTGCTTTGACAGATTGCTCAGAGAGTTTAATGGGACTTTCCGCATTCACGCAGCACTGGTCTTACTCATAATCTATGATCTATATATAGGACGTTTCTGATTTAAATGCATTCTCTTTAAGACATGTAAGTAACTCGAGTAACAAAATTCTTCCCAAGTCAGTACCTGTTATGTGATAACAAGAATTTAAGAACTGTAATTTCACTTCTGTCACTTAACATTCCTTTATTTTTTCTCTAATTCTCACAGCATCAGTGGACAGTGCTTCTCTAATGGTGTCCGAGCTGGCAGATATTCCTGACCGCAGCTGTTCCTCAGAGGACCTGTGTTCTCTGGAGGTGCAGGGCTCGGACTCCTCTCCATATGGGACACTCCATACGGCTCCCACTGACGGCAGCTGCACCAGCCTGGAGCACAGTGTGCGCTCTTCCATGCGCCGGGAGGCCCGCTCTCCTGCCTGCCTCGACCGCAGCGAGTCCTCCATCGTCCAGGACTCTGCCGCTCGATCACGAGAAACCATGAATGCCCTGGAGAGAGACGATACTCCAACCTCCAGAGATCGGGCGAGTACCAAGTTAACTCTTCCTGTTCCCCCAGCCTCTGAACCCCAGCCATGTGCCTCCAGCTCTGGAGCTGTAGCATCTGCAGCTGCAGCATCTGCCCCGAGCCCCCTTGCCTGCCCCTCTCCATCCCCCTCCGGCCGGCCGAAAGGCGCTCGGCTTTGCTTCAGTGTCTGGACCCCTCAGCCCTCCTCTACCTCAGCTCACGGCAGCTCCACAGCCTCTGAGCGTCCTCGCACGCTCCGAGCAAGACGATACCGCAAGCTGGCAAGGATCGTGCGCTCCACCAGTGATCCCGTCTCCTGTAACTCCATAACTAGAAGTACGTGAACCATGCATTACATATAGAGATGTATATATTGCTTCTAATTGAATGATTTTAAGTCAATTCAGCTACTTCAAGATGCACCCAGTTGCTAACTGAGGCATTCAGCTGCACATATAATTTACAAATAAAAGCATTTCCAATAAAATCGGATAGACTGGAGCAGCTGCACATGAGTCTAGGGTCACCATGCGCAGTGCCAAGCGTCAGCAAGAGGGGCATAAAGCCCCTCAGCATGAGGCTAAGAACAAATGGAACTGATGGAGCACCATGCAATACCTTTGGGACGAGTTGGAGTGGTGGTTGTGATCCAAAACTACTCACCCAACATCAGTAGTTGACCTCACAAATGCTATTGTGCCAGAGTGTCAATGTTCCACCATTTAGTTTAAAGCCACTTTTACAAGAGTAGAGGCTGTTGGTGTAGCAAAGAGGGACAAACTCCTCTTAAATACCCTTGATTTTGAAACAATTATTGAATGAGCAGGTGTCTACAAACCATATGCAGAAGCTTGGGTGCCCCAGTCAAATGGCAAATGAATAAATAAAACATAAAATGTGGCCTGTGCAAAAGTTATGCTACATTTTATATTGTATATTTTATGTTTTTTCTAATGTGTTAAACCCTGCAAATAAATAGAAATTGTGCACTAAAATTTACAGAATTTTGGGTAGCGCTGTCACCTCACAGTAAGAAGGGCCTGGGTTCGATTCCCCAGCCGGGCGACCAGGGTCCTTTCTGTGTGGAGTTTGCATGTCCTCCCGTGTCTGTGTGGGTTTCTTCCGGGTGCTCTGGTTTCCTCCCACAGCCCGAAGACATGCAATCAGGCAAAAGGGATGCTGAATTGCCGAGGTGGCCTTGTGACACATTTAAATCTTACTTCTAAAAGCACTACATTTAAATTTACATTTCATCACAGCACCTCACCACTCACAGTTGTTTGTCATTTTTCTAATGGTTTTGCACTACACTTGAGGGATTGTGGATGATTGAAGGACTGGAAGGATACACCAGCTGCGTCCTTTGAATTCTCAGAAGTGAAGGCTGCATTTCTCAGCTGCATTGAAAGGATCCCTCAATGGGAAATACTTCAGTGATGTAATGGCCAAGAAATGCAGCCTTTTACTGGCACATCCTAAGCTTTGAGACATGTTTGTAGTTTATGATACACTACCAGAGTTTCTGCTAGGACATTTTGGTGCCAGTCAAGGTGGCTGTTTGCTAGACAGCTTGGCGAAATTTAGGGGTGTACCTACAAATTTAGGTTTGTACTGATGTCCACATTCAGTATTTTTCTTGCACATATGTGCTAAGGCCAATACTAATGCCAGTATATGAGCATGTATACAGAATGATCAAGATAAAAAATTTAAAATATATGAAAAACACCCATTCATAATTTCTGTGATGGGATATACCTTAAAAACTAAAATGGGACGGCCACACATTGAATATCAAAAGCAGAAAAGATGCAAATTATATGTAAAATAGCCAATCTGCATATACACTTGCTATTTCATCATTACACATCAAAACTATTATAATGCAGACTTGTACAGGTTCAGAAACAAAACTGAACAGTGTAATTGGCTGTGTCTAAAACTGAAGGCAGCTGAATCGATCCTTGCTACCTGTACTGTCTCATAAGTGTGTTTGAGACGTGTCCCAAAGGCAGCGATACATCACGTCGTTGTCAAGACATGACTGTTCACTGCTAGCTGTTAGCATTGGACTTTAGCATCTTTTACCCAGAAAAAAAGTCTTTTAAGAAGTCTATCATAATGAACTTATTATAACCAAGTATTGCGTTTGTACACAAACCAACATCTCTCTTATCCACAGTGCCAGTGCTGATGTTTTCTGACACAATGGATTATGGGATATGTAAGGCAGTGAAGGATACACCTGCGCTGCCTTCAAAAAACAGCCAAACAGAGTAACCTCAGCAGGCAGCATTTTATACAGGCATTCAATTTGGACGTGATTTGGTGCCTTCCGGCCTCAGAATACTGTCTGAGTACACACTTAAAAAAGATGGTTCTAAAGTAAAGAAAATGGTTCTATATAGAACCATGAACACTCAAAGAACCCTATGCATGACTGAAGGATACTTTGCATGATGAAAGTGTTCTTCAGATTGATGGAGAGTGTTTTAAATGATTCTATATATAACCTTTTTTGTTCTATATACCACCAAAAAGGTTCTTCTATCATTACAAGCTTGACAGTGAAACTATAGAAGAACCATTTTTGGTGCTATATAGAACCCTATTCAAAAAGGTTCTATAAAGAACTTTATATATACAGCACATTCTCCATCAATCTGAAGAACCCTTTCACGATGCAAAGAACCCTTTAATCATTAATGCACGAGTGTTCATGGTTCTACATAGAACCATTTTCTTTACTAAAGGACCCTGGAAGAGCCATCTTTTAAGAGTGCATGCAGTGCTGATTATGTTTCAGACACAGCCAAAGCGTCCCTTGTGTGCATCCTAATGACGTCAGCAAGAGTCGCTCTTAGTCAGGCCCAAGGCCTTGACGGTTCCCAATGGCCACCTTTCACCCAGTTTACGGTGATGGAAAAACCCAGTTCTAACTCCTGTACCAGAGGCCGTTGCCATGTCTGGTGGGATAGATTGGAGACGAGCATAAACAAGTCCTTATCTCATGTCACAGCGTCCTTCTCAAGGAACATGTCACAAGCCTCACAGAGACACAAAAGCCCAAGAACTGTTATTCCAAGGTGTAAGAAAGATATTCTGAAGCGAAATATTCTATATTAAAAAGATTCAATGTTGATTGCAGGAGATAATCTATATCCCTTCAGTACATTTATATTTGGGACTAGGTCCACCTGGGTTAGCATTAAAAAGTGATACAAATCCAGTAGAATGCAGTAAAATGAATAAAATGCAACATTTTTGCACAGTAGCCCAGCATCACCTAACGATACTGCTCTTCTGGAGGACAGTAAATACATCACCAAATATCAGTTTGAACTGTCAGTCAAATCTTAACTTGACAGATATGAATATGATTCCAATATCATGGTGCATCCTTGGTAGAAGTCTGTAGGCAGTTGGTGTTAATGTTGACTATTATTCATAGGCTTATCTCTCAAAACAAGAACCTTTGGGAAGGAGACCAACACTATAACCTTACACCATTTTGATTCAATTTCATGCTATGTAGAAGTGCTAGTATTCTGTACATGACACATATACTTCTTACATAACACAAATACGAGTTATATCACTTACTTAGGGCAGTAACAATTTATGTTACTGTTTTACCTGTACAACTCATTTTCCATTTAATTCACCTTACGGTATCATTAAAACTTCCACAATCTATAATAAGCACAGTTGTGTATTAAGGAACATCATGGATTAATTCAGTACTGAAGCTAAAATTCTTGTTTCCATCAATGTTTTTTTTACAAAAGCATGGTTTCTGTGTGTGCAGGTGAGAGCTGTGGCTGTACATCTGTGGGCAACCAACCACAGCAGGAGTCCCCACAGACCCCTTCAGATCAAGGTAGTGTCTTTGCTCTTTGTACTCTCATAGCATGGGTGTAGGTGTGCAGAATTTAGTACATACCAAGGAAAGATCATATTCCTAATACATGTCATGGATGTGACGTTGTACGTCCCATATATTGCATCATTTTTCATTTTATGTCAGCTCGTGGTGACTTTTTTTGATGGGGCTGGGATGGGGGCCTTATTCTAGAACAGTGTTTCTCAATCTACAAGTGTTTTCACTATTGCAACCAATTTAAATGGCTGAAAAGCTTGTTATATGAATGATGAATCAGGGGTTTTAGTGAAAAACACTACAATTGTAGTGCAGGGCTACTCCAGGTACAGGATTAGGAAATACTGTTCAAGAACATTCATGGAATAGTTCAGCAAATAATCTTAGGGTTTACTCCATGTAGCCTATACAGATCAGATTAGTTTGTCAGGGGGCCATCTGCAGTACATTTTTCTTCTTAGAGACAAAACTCTCACAACAGGATGGTAAAATTATCGCAGGACAAGTGAGTTTCAAGTGTTATATATTCTGTGGATACACATTATGACAGTGGTTCTCAATCAGTTCTCAGGGATCCCCAGACGGTCCATATTTTATTCTATCCCTATGTGTTGTGAATTGGGTTCAGGCAAAAATTTGGACCATCTGAGGGCCAGTTTGAGAACATCTGAACTAGGAGACTAAATACAACAGTAGACAACATCTGCCTGGAAAATCATAAAGATGTGTATCTGGACGGGACAAATATTATCAGCCCACCACTAAGTTCAGTAAAAATCAGCAGGCAATTCGTCTTGAAGTTTTCTCAGGGAAGAGAGAGTGAAAACACAGACATGGCCATTTCGGACAAACAAAATATGGATTTTCACCTGTTAAAAGAGGAAATTATCCCAGGACCTCATGTAAATTTAATCCCATCCCAGTCAGCCTTATGACATGCTGTTATCTATAAAAATGGGTGAAGATTTGTAGTATAATTTAAAAAAAAAAAAAGCAATCCATCCTGAAGCCTGACCTGTCCATACTTTTCATACAAAGACACTTTTAATACAAATAAATGTAGGATGATGACCTGGTTAACATTATTCAGCTACAACCTTAACATGCACACTTTTTTTAGCCCCCAAGTTTTTTTGTCGCATTTCTTAGATTATTTCTTTTTACAGTTTTAGGTCACCTAGTCATCTAATGATATTGCATGACAACATCCAATCACAGTAATTCTTTGGCGTGTAGGCAATTCTAAACCAGCTATGCCATATTCAATGTCGTTATATGTGAACATTACACTTTTGTCCATTTTTGTCATACTTTGTCAAAAACCATATAAGCAGGTCTATATGAGTTTACAGTTAGTTTGTATTTTGAAAATGCTTTTTGAGGGGATATAAGCTTGCCTTACCTGTTAGCTACATTGGCCTTTGAGCTCCACTATGAAACTAAAGATGCAAACTTCGAACACAAAGCACTGAATACGCTTGGGGTAAATGGAAAATTGTGTACATTTTTTTTTTTTTGCCAGACTATTCCTTCGATAAAAGATAATATGGGTACAGTAGTAGTGTAGTAGCATCATAGGTCAGTTATATCTTCTAAGTTATATCTTCATGATTTTATTTATGTATTGTCTTTTTTATCATCTTGCAGCCTGCATGGAGCTTTCAGGCGGCACAGTGTCCCAGTGTGCCAAACCCAGCGGCCGCGGGGCTAAGAAGCAGAAGGATGGTGGGAAGGTGGACCTGCGTCTCAAAGCATTGCACCCGACCTCCACAGAGCGGCCTCACTCGCTAGCAGACCTCAAGACCTACAAAGACACCAAGATACTAGTGGCCAGATTTCTGGAGCACTCCAGCTGCAGCCTCCCCCCAGAGGTACAGCAAGTGGTCAACAGCATCAAATATGTCATCAAATCGGACGAGAAGCACATGGAGGAGGCCATATTTAGTGCCAGCATACTAGATCAGGTGAGAGAGGGGCACAGGGAAGTGAATGGTTAGTGAATGTTAAAGCAGGTTATAACATACAGTTCCTTCTAAAAAGTATTGACGCTGTGAGGTTTTATTTTTGCTATGTAACCTCACCCAGTATAATCTTTAATTTCTAATGATGAAAGAAAAATGTATTTTTCTACAAGTTCCTGATTTTAAGCGACTTTAAGCTTCAGCCATAATTAAGTTTAAGAGTGCAGAGCCGGAGAGCCAGCTCTAGACCTGCAGGCATGACGTGGCTCTAGACTTGCGGCCATGGATATCTTGTGTAATATGTCAACATTGTGGCGTGCAATATGTTGACTTGATAACAATCTTGTCACTTGTAGGGAAACAATGATGAAATAAATGATGACAGTGAATAAAAGCTTATACTCATTTAGGATTTTCTAAATAATCATAGTTTGATTTTGTAGTGAAGAAAACAAAACATGAAATAAATTGTGAGTAATAGATTTGCATTAGATAAGTGGCTAGCTACCAGGATCCTTTTCATATTAAGTATTTTGACAAAGTCTGACAAAATTTGCTTAGATGGCTAGTTAGCTAGCGTAATGATGCATTCAACTTAACTCGGAAGCGGAAAGTCGGAGCTTGGAATTACGTGATTTTTGATCTTTGCGTGTTTAACCTACAAAATGGGAAAAAAACATAAAAAATATTTTTATGAAGGAGAATTGCTAACTGTTGATTACTGTTGAAAGTGTGAGCAGCCATGTTGATATGATCTGATGCTGAACACCTACTTTCCAAGCAGGAATTTCCAGTTATGGGAATGTTTTACTTTTGGTTTTTCCTAGTCTGAGGTTTGGAATTCTAAGGTATGAGCTTTAGGTGAATGCAGCATAATGACACTGTGTAAAATAAACCATATTTAGGGTACTGGCAGCTAGCTAGCATATCACCAAGCTAGTTAGTGCAACCTTTAGCTGTCTAGTTAACGTCCACTGCAGATAGTTTGAAATATCTGAGTCATTCTAACTTATGAGTCTGTTCCTTTTTATTTAAAAGTAGTATTGTTCATCTTGATTCACAAGCTGTTAGTAATTAGCACATTAGCCCAAGTATCCTGAAACATAGCTGCTAAAGTTAGCACCCTGCTAAAAAAGACCATTTAGAACCAGTAAAACCAGATAATCGGAATTGGCTTAATAGTAACCATTACAGACAACTAGTTTCCTGTAGGACACCTTTAGATCCCTTTAAATCCTTTTTTTCCAACAGAACAAACCTTAAACCATGGCATGTCCTAACACTGCAGGTCTAGAAGTGCTGCTAGCCCTCTGGGCCTGCAGATGAGTGTTGCTGGGTGATCAGATTAAGAGCTAGAACAGAATGTACTGGCTAGCAAACCACAAGAGCTGGTTTGTCTCATGAGTGATTTTTTAATCTTCATACAGGTGATGTCACAGTCACGACGAATCTTGAGTAGCCCCAGAAAGCACGCTCACGAAGACCTGCACCTGCAGAGCTGTGGGGCGTTAAGCTCCCCGTCCCCATCCCTGCGCCGTCCGCAGCATCGAGTAACCGGCCAGTCAGCTCCAGCCGCGAGCCCGGGTCACCAGGCCCCTTACCGGCCCCAAAGCCTCGTCAGTGTGTGCAGAGAAACGATCCTCTGACCCCAGTCTTGCTCCATCGACCCAGACCCCTCATGCCCCTGTACTTCTCGTGCCAATCTCGTGCCAAGGCCAAGTCCTAGTTTTCATCAGCAGAAACAGTAGCACTCAGAACACACAGCAAGTCATCTCGGGAGTGCCTCTTGGGGCATGTAACAAACATAAAGGAATGTCCACCTTCAGGGGTGTATTTTTTTATTGTCTTGACAGAGAGCTGAAATATTTGTGTGAGTTTAGATTTTGGATCTGTGCAAAAGAAGACAAATGAATGAAAAAAATCAAGAAAAAAAGACAAAATAAGCTCTGGAAGGAGGAGATATGGACTTGACTCTTTGTGAAACTGTGACACTGATGAGACTTTAGTTTGGACTCGCTTCTCCTGCAGACATTGTGTGACGTTTAGGACATGATTTTGTCATTGTGTGCCACTGCAGGACAAAGAACCTCACAACGCTGGATTATTTAACTTACCTCAGTGTGATATGATTCTTTTCAGTGTTACAAATAAAAAATATCAGTTTGTAATTCTGTGTGTGGCCAGTTACTGCTGTTCAGAAATCAAGGCTATATTTAGTTTAGGCATTCTGGTCTAAACTAGCATTTAATATGTCATTTGTTATGTAATATTGCATCCCTCAGCCTCATCGGTTTAATAGAATTCACTTTTTATTGTGCTCTTTGACTACAGTATCCAGCATGCATTGCCCAAATACATCACACACTACATCACATCTCAGCAAATCCTGACTGCTACCCTGTGATCAATAGGCAAACAAATACATCTGTGGTAGCTACCATCAGTGCTATAGCACGAATCTCAGCTGGTCAATAAACGCTTTTCTGTGTTAAAGGGGAATTCCATCAATTTTTCAAACTTTCCAAAAAATTTGACAGGAAATAGTTCATTGTAGAGAAACATACAGACTCTGATTTCTTTGGTGTTAATAGGAACCAGGGGTCACCATATCTACAGCACAAATATGGCCATTTTAATTACTATCCAAAACCACCAGTGAACCTACATGTGTCTTCTGAGGTTTCATATGTAATGTTCATAATGATAAAATAGTGATAAATCGGAAAAAAAAAATGTTTTCTTTGGGGACTACTTTGCTTTACAACACGCCGCATGTACCCCTCCACAATGAAATGACTAATATAAATGGATTCAAGTGCATTTTCAGCCAAAACTTTATCACAAAACTATCATAAGACAATGTCTCAGACATCAAGCAGCATATATCTAACTATTTCATGCAATAACTTTCTGTGAGGGAGCTTTTAGAGGTGGATATCTGGTTCCTATCACCACCACTATAAACAATTCTGACTCGGTAAGTTTCTCTAGAACTGAGCATTTCACACATTAAACCACTCTGAATGACTCTGTTTACGTCTCAACCTTGTAGAATTTTTAAAAATCGGTGCTAGTAAAAAAACATTTCAAAGAGCAGACCCAAAAGTGTCAACCCCAAAATACTTGTACTTTTTCAAAATTTACTTCCACCTTTAAAATACATCATCAGAAGGGGGTTTTCCTGGTTGGCAGCGGTTAAGAGGTGACAGGCAGATGTAGCGATGGCTACATTTTATATTATGGGTGGAGCGTCAAAATTACAAACTAATATGTAGGATCCAAACAACAATATGTATTGTCTATATTTTTAAGGTGTGCTAATAGCATCGCATGTTACCTACTAATCAATCAGGAAGAAATCCCTCGCATCAGAAGCCATGCAAGTCGACCTTTATCCACCAGGTGGCAGCAGAGAGGACTTTCTATCTGGAACAGTGAGCAATCTGAAAGATTTCTACGTTTTGAGATATAAGAGCAAACAAACTGCTGTTTAGTAGTTCATGGTTTTTACAAAACTGTGTTTCTGAAAGACTGAATGAACACTTCTTGTACATTTTACTCTGAGTACATCACAATGAAAGCCCAAACTCGCGGCACATTTTGGTTCGCTCCGACTTAAAGGGGAACTCCATCGATTTTTCGACCATTCCACATAACTAAGGGTTGAGATGTAAACAGTCATTCAGAGTTTGATGTGGAATACTCTGCTCTACAGAAACTGAGGAACTAGACTTCTGAAGAGTTTAATGCCTCTGAAGCACCCTCACAGAAAGTTATTACATGAAATGGTTATGAATACACTGCCTGATGCCGTAGACATTGTTTTATGATGGTTTTTGATAACGCTTTGACTTAAAATGTATTTTAGTCCATTCATTTTAGACCATTCATTGCGGAGAGGTACATACAGGGTGTTGTAAGGCAAAATAGTCCCCAGAGAAAACTTTGTTCCTTCAGATTTATCACTATTTTACCATCAACATTACATGCAGAAGACGCGTGTGGGTTCACTGGTGGTTTTGGACAGTAAATGAAATGGACGTATTTGCGTTGTGACATTGCGACCCCTGGTTCCTGTCACCATTGTAAATAAATATGTAGGCCTGTAGGTTTTTCCACAATGCCCCGATTCAATTCAAACTACTCTAAATGCCTTCCGTGTACATCTCAGGGACTGAATTATTCCGAAATTTCGAAAAATTGGTGGAATTCCCCTTTAAATACGGCGGATACGCCATCTGTTTAACGTCCAATCACAGTCGAGCTGAGGTGGCAGTTTGGCAACAGACCAATCAACTACGTCCAACTTCCACCGTCGCATGATCCTATTGGGCTGTGCGCTTGTCAGTCACGTCTAACGAACCTGACACGCTGGACGACCTGCTCGACTCTCAGGGCTTTCGAGACGTCTCGACTCAGGCAGCTTGAGATACTCTTCCACGGAAAGCACATTTTCGAGGTTTTTAAATTAACCTTTGCTGTAAATATATGCGGTTCTAGTTCCGTTTAAATATCTATGCTTTGTTATAGACCTGAGGCAGCCTGGCCGCAGCTGCAGTTTTGGTGTTGGAGGGCAAAAACCGAGCTCCTTCATTCGTGGTTTACTGTTGGCGCTAAGTAACGTTAACGCAGTGCTGGACAGTTAGCACGCTGGCTAATGTGGAGCAGCGAGAGGAGACGTTATAGGAAAAAGCGGGCATTTTAGTTTATGCAAGTGGGTGTTTGCAGTTATGCTCGAAGTCTAATATTAATTTCCTTTTGAAATTATACTGAATATTTAGTCCTAGTTTCTTCTTTGGCAGCTGCTGAGAGCTGAATAGCGACAAAGCTAGGCTAGCGTTAGTTAGCCTGGACGCTGGGAGTTGATGCCTGAACAGCCTCACAGATTAACGTTATTTATTTTTTTGTCACCACACAACCGTTTCTCGTCTGGACAGTGACTGTAAGACGACTGTGGTTACTTATATGCTTTTTATAGGTAAGATAACCTGTAGTCGCAGTTTGACTCTAAGCAGAGCTCCTCTTACTGATATATAAGCCATACCGCACACAGTTTAGTGAAAAGCGAGCGTGAGAGCGCTGTGTGAAGTTTAAGAGATGGTCTGAGGGGATTACACTGAATGTATGTGTGTATGTAACAGTCGTCAGGGCTGTCGGAGCTGCTGGCTGCTGAGAGCATCTGAGTTTAGGCCACGTCGCTGTGTGGTGGTGCAGTTCATCCACTGACAGGCGTTGGATGAATGCAAACGAGGAAAAAAAGAAACGACACTCGCCAACTGTGCGGAAGGAGAGGAAATAACTGCTGCTGTCAAGTCATGTTGACGTTGACCAAACGGATCAGGGGACACGTTTAGCGCTTTACGGAAGATGTGCGTTATTTAAACGGCTGATTTGATTCAGCTACCAGACTGGAGAGTGGAGGTAAAAAGCTGACAAGGCGGCGTGTTTAAAGTAAAGCGATCCGGGAGCAGATTTCTCTTTTTTTCCTCCTCCACTCCTCGCCATGGTCGGGTTCGGTGCGAACCGGCGCGGCGCGCGTCTGCCCTCCTTCGTCCCCATCGCGCTGATGGTGGTGATCGTCGTGCTGGCCTATAACTACTGGACGGTGTCGAGCAAGCACGGACGGCTGCTAGACGACCTGGCCGAGGCGCAGACACAAGTGAAGCGGACGGACGCGGCGCGGAGCCGCCTGGAGAAGCGCAACTCCGAGCTTATGCTGCAGGTGGACACGCACAGGAAGCAGATCGACCAGAAGGACGGAGATTACAGTGTGCTGGAGGGCAAACTGCAGGCCAGGGACGCGCTGTTCAAGAAGTGCGCCGATGAAAAGGTGGGCACTGTGACAGTATGGTTTGCTCACAAGCCGGTTTGTGTCTTTTGGTTAACAGCTTGCATTCAAGTTTCCTACTTCTCAGTTTCCAGTATGAAGGGCTCAGAATAGATTGTAGATGAAGGGCAGTGGGTTAAAAGATACATAGATTCATGATGTACACTACCTACCAATATTTTGTTTTAATGGGATTTGATTAGAGGTGGACAATCGCGATACTTCAGAAAGTTGATGATACAAAATATGTCACAATAGTTTTTCAGAAGTGAGAACAGAAAAAAAGTAGCACCACATTTTAAAAATGCTATCAAAAACTATGCATTTGGTTATTTGTATTCTTCATTTTACACACTGTGCTACCCTAAAACCAGTTAAACAGGACTAATAATGCTCTTTTTAGTCAAGCATGCAGTTGATAATTTGTTTCCAAGTACTGACAATATCCATGATATACTCAGAAAATCATGTTGTGACATATTTTGATGTAGGTTATCACAGTAATGATGAATACTGTCATATTGCCCCACTTTAGATTTGATAAGCTGGAACAGACGTAATGCACCTGTATTGCCACAGTGAAAAACTGCTATCACTGCTATTTAAGGACAGTTATTTTTATTCAGCTTTTTACATACTGCACTTTATTTTAACAAAACATGCAGTTGGTTATGGTTCTTACAGTATCCATAGGCTTGAAAAGCATATTGTGAGGAAGTACATAACAATAATAAGAAAATAGTATCATATTGTTCACTGTTAGTGCACCCAGAGTGATATTCCTCACCTGTTACTTTGTTTCAGCCTTGGTGTATTTGCACAATGGGCAGGTCCATTGACTTGGACTACCAATGAAACTTCACCCTGAGGCTCAGAGCTGCATTGTTTGATTGTTTATTTTATGATCATGATAAA